CTACCCACCAGCCCCACCCTTGCCGAACCATACAGCACAGCCCCCACCACATTCTTACATCCGTGATAGCCTTCTTCGCCTTCTCCTCAGCGTTGCGGCACTCCTGCACTGCATCCTCCACCTCGCTGCTCAGCTGCGAGATGTCCGTCTCCAGCTTCTTCTTTTGGTTGATCAGGCCCGTGTTCTGCAGACAGAGCAAGCTCAGTGCCACAGGGACCAGCCGTTCACCACGGCCCCGGTGCTGGCAGGCTCCTGGCTCTCCAGTGCCGGCAGAGGTGCAGGACTTGGTGGTCCCTCACCTGGGAGTGGAGCAGGTTGACACTCTCGGTGGCCTCCAGCAGCTCCTGCTCCGCAAGCTTCCTGCTCCTCTCTGCCTGCTCCAGCGCTGCCCGCATCTCCTCCACCTCCGCCATCAGTAGGTTGTTGCGGCGCTCCAGGGCGGCTGCCTGCTCCTTCAGGTCGTCATTGTGGCGTTGAGTGTCATCCAACTCGATTTGCAGGTCCTGCCGGGCAGCACAGGGTCAGTGGGGACAGGAGGGAGCCGGGGCTGGCAGCAGGGACAGCACCAAATCTGTCCCACCCGCGGCCACCCAACCTTGATCTGGGCCTGGAGCTGGCGGCCCAGTTTCTGGAACTCGGCGGCCTGGCGGTTGGCATGGCTCAGCTGGATCTCCATCTCGTTCAGGTCTCCCTCCATCTTCTTCCTCAGCCGGACGGCCTCATTCTTGGCCCGGGCCTCTGCATCTAGCGTGGCTTGCATGGAGTCCATGGCGCGCTGGTGGTTGCGCCTGCGGGAGAGACGATGCATCAGCCCTGTCCGCCCGGGGACACCCAGTCTGGGGCAGCCCCGTCAGGGCCATGGTGCCAGCTCTGCCCCCACAGCGATGGCCCTGCCCGTCCCCTCTCAGCACACACCTCAGGTTCTCAAACTCCTCGTCCTTCTCCGCCAGCTTCCTGTCCACGTCAGCCTTGATCTGGTTCAGCTCCAGCTGGATGCGCAGAGTCTTGCTCTCCTCATGCTCCAGGGCCCCCTAATGACAGCGGCAGCCATGGGAAGGTAGCCCCCCCGGGGGGATCTCCCCAGCCACCCACCCCAGCCTGGCCTCGCCCCCCAGCCCAGCACTATGGGGAGCAGGGCAGGTGGAGCCACCCCAGAGCCTTGCTGTAGTTGCACGACCCCCATGAGCGGGGTGCCCAGGGGTTGCAGCCCAGCTCAGGACTGTCACCCTGCCGGCACAGTGTGGGGGTTGCTGCTCCAGCAGCACCCAACCAGAGCTGCAGGGTTGGCCGGTGGCTGTTGAGGGCAGCAGGCACATTCCAGCATCAGTGGGAAACAAGGACCCACCTCAGCCTCCTCCAGAGCTGCCTGGATATCGCTCTTCTCACTCTCCAGGGCTTTCTTCAGCTTCTCCAGCTCATGGATGGTTTTGCCGCTCATGCTGATCTGGTCAGTCAGATCAGCGATTTCCTCTGGCAGGGATGGAAGGGCATTTGGTCAGGAATGAGTTTGTGGGGCCAGTCCCACCCAGGTGACTTCCCCAACCTCCTGCCCAGGCTTGGCTGATGTCCCCCAGCCCCTTGGAGAGCAGCTGAGGTTGTGCTTGGGGACATTTCTGCAGTCTGGGCGAAGGAGAGGGCATGGGAGAGGCATTAAGGACCCATGGAGACCTGCTTCTCCAAGAGCAACACCCCCAAGCTAGTGCCATGCCACAGCCATGGCACTCTCGGCAGCAAAAGGTGCACTGTTTGGAAACAAGAGCCAAGTGACACTGCCTGTCTGCCCAGAGTGTCCCCTGCAAGGGGCAGGACACATGCTGGCTTCCTGGCTGCACTGCTGCACCCCTCCAAGGAGGAGAAGGGCCAGGCTTGGCTGAGCAGCGAGGTCTGCTCCCTGCCTACAAGGAACCCCTGTCCCACCACCTGGCTGAGGGCAGGGGAGCGAGAGGCTGCCCATAAGAGCAGGAGTCTGGGCAAAGAGTCCAAGGGGAGCCCTTGAGCCCAGTCCTACCCTGCAGGTTCTTGTTCTCCCTCTTGAGGGTCTCCAGGTTGTCCAGGGACTCCTCGTAGGCATTCTTGAGCTTGAAGAGCTCCGTGCTCAGGCTGCGCGATTCCTTCTGTGATGCCTCCAGCTCTGCCTGGGTCTCCTCATACTTCTGCTTCCACTCGGCCAGGATCCTGTCAAAGTTGCGCTGCTTCTTGTCCAGGGCAGCACAGGCCGAGTTGGCACGCTCCAGGTCCACCGAGAGGTCCTCGATCTCTGTCTGCAGCCGATGCTTGGTCTTTTACACAGCCGATGCTTGGTCTTTTCCAGCGAGGAGCACTGGGCATGGGCAGCCTCCACTGCCTCCTCCGCCTCCTGCAGCCGGATAGCCAGCTTCTTCCTGCCGATGGCAGCAAGGGGTAAGTGCTCCCAGCCCAAGTGTCATCCCACCCCATTGCTCCAAGGAGGGAGGTCACAGCCAGCCCAAACAGCCTCAAGACTGGCCAGGAGGGTGCAGTCTCCCACTGGGGTCTGGAAAAGCCCCATCATTGAACGGAAACTTGCCCCCTGCAAGGAACCGACTTCTGCCATGAGACTTACTTGGCTTCCTCCAGCTCCTCTGTCCTCTGGATGGCATCTGTCTCGTACTTGGTTCTCCACTGGGCTACTTCTGCATTGGCTTTGGACAAGTTCCTCTGGAGCTCACTCTTGGCCTCCACCTCCTCCTCGTACTGCTCCCGCAGCAGGTCGCAGTCATGCCGGGAGGCTTGCAGGGCATGGGCCAGGGCGTTCTTGCTCTGAGGACGGGAGAGCTCATGAGAGGAGCAGCTGGCTCCAGGACACGGGCCATGGCACCGGGATTGGGGACAGCAGGAGGGAACTTCTGGTTTTCCCAGGCTAAGAGCTGCCCCTGGGGCTCCTGTGTGCAGCCATGTCCCACCTCCCCAGCCCAAGAAGCTGGGCCACTGCCACAGTGGGACACACGTCCCATTCCCTGAGATCTGTGTCACTCAGAGGTCAGCCATGCCTTAGAAGCCTCACCTTGGTCTCTTCCTCCAGCTGCCTCTTGAGTTCCTCGATGCTCTGTGTGAATGAGGTCTTGCCACGGCTCAGCTGGTTGATGAAGGACTCCTTCTCCTCCAGCAGTCGACTAAGCTCCCCTGGGGTCAAACAGAGCGAAACCAGCTACTTTGGGGCTGAAGGGCTGCAAGCTGCATTAGCCCACACCCCCCAGAGCCTGTGGCCTTCAGCTGCATGGAGACCTCCAGCAATCCCAGCTGTATCCCCATGCAGGCAAGGTGGGACCCATAGGCCAAGGTGCACACCAGCAGCTAAGGGCTGAGTATGCCTGCTACGATCCCGTCCTGATGCCCGAGACCACAGCACATCCCCCAGCACAACCAGCATCACCACAGAGGTCCTCTTCCTTGCCCATACAACACTTCTGCGAGGCCTGAGTGGAGGCACAGCAAGGACATCCCCCTCCCCTCTGCTCCAGATGGAGGTCCTGCTATTTTTTTTTTTTTTTTTTTTTTTAAGAAGCAGGACAGTCTGCCCAGCTGAACCACAGCTCCCCAACTCAGATGCCCCAGTGCAAGACGAGCCCCAGGGCAGCCACAGGTCCCCTGGCCGCCACCCCCACCTACCGTTCTCGGTCTGCAGCCTGCCCCGCTGCGTGCTCACGTCGGTCAGTTGTCGCTGCAGCTCGTCCACTTTGGACTTGGCCTCGCTCAGCTGGTCCTCATAGGTGCGGCACAGCTTCTCAGCACTGGCCTGCATGCACCAAGCAAAGCCCGTGTGAGACCCAGCTCCGGGCAGAGAGCACCATTGCCCCAGGAGGGGCTCAGCGACTGCGTCACCCCGGGACCTCGCTGCCCTGCTCAGCTGATCCCACGTGCACACAGGGCAGAGAGCAGGAGCCCGCCAGAGCTCTCGTGTCTCTGCTGAGCTAGCAGTGGCCCTCTGCAGTCAGTCTCCCAGGAAATCTAGGACAAGCAAAGCAGCCTGCAAGCACTACCATAGTGACACAGGGACAAGCTTTACCTAGTGAAAAAGAGGGACTTGGCCATGGCAAAGAGCCACCTAGGACAACAACCCATGGACAGCCCCCCAAACACACCGCAACCACTTGCATTGATGTTCACAGAAGAGATGAACCTGCCCCGTACAGAACCAGTGCCCACCTTGTTCTTGGTGAGGTATTCAATGTTGGATGATAGGTCGTCCACCTCCATCTTCATCTCGCTCTTCTCCTTCTCCAGCTTCTGCTTGACGCGCTGCAGGTTGTCGATCTGCTCGCTCAGCTCCGCCACGCTGTCCGCGTGCTTCTTCCGCAGGGCGGCCGCCGTGGACTCATGCTGCAGGGTTGCCTCCTCCAGGTCGCGTCGCAGCTTCAGGAATTCTGCTTCCCGCTTCTTGTTCATCTCCAGCTGCGCGGCCGTTGCCCCACCAGCCTCCTCCAGCCGCTCGCTCAGCTCCTCCAGCTCCCGTGACACTTCTGCCCGCTGCTTCTCCACCTTGGCTCTGGCGGCACGCTCAGCCTCCAGCTCCTCCTCCAGCTCCTCAATGCGGGCCTGGCAGAGACAGAATAAGGCAGATGCTCCAAAGCACTGGGTGAAGCTCCAGCATCTCTGCTCTCCACAATGGAGCAAGATGGCTCCTCCGATGCCGGGGAGCAACAAGCCACCAGTCTGGAGCAAATGCTTGGGCTGTTTTGGGATTCTCGGAGGCAGGCATGCCTGTTGCTACTTGGTAGCATGTTTTGCAGAGCTCCTGCTCTCCTCTGTACCCTGCCATCAGGATCCAGGCTGATACTGTCTCCTTTTCTCCATACAAACAGCCTGAATCTGCGGGCCTGTCTCTGATTGATAGGAAGAAGCCCAACATACTAGATGTGGATTTTCAGAGTTTGGGCACTGGATTTAAGGTTTTAGTCTGGACAGAGAACTACATACTAGAAGCTGTTCCTCGTGCTGGTGCTAACATTCACCTCAATAGTTCATAGTTTAATTTTCAGTCTACCACATTTTGGCAGAGGGCTTTGCTTCTGCTAACAATGCCAGCTTTTTTTCATCGCTCTTCTGCCAAGGAGATGCCCCTGTGCTCAGAGAGGGACTGGCCCATGCAGATTCCCCAGCACATTACATCTGATGGAAATTTAAGACTCCTGGGCTGTGAGAACCGTTCCACCATACCTGGAGCTCCTTGATCTTCTTCTGTAGCTGTGCCTCAATCACTTGCCCATCTTCAATCCTTGAATTCAGTTGACTCATTTCAAAGTCCTTCCTGTACAGAAAGAAGGCAGAGCCTCTGGTCAAACACTGTTCTGCTCAAGTCTCTCTGGCTCTTGAAGCCAGAGGAAGATTGTTCCCTGCACTGTAACACCCAGGACCAAAGGACAAACAAACCCACACAGGAAAGGGACTGCAGGGGCAAGCAGCAGTGCATGGACTGCTCTGAGGGAGGGTTGGAGTGGCCAAGCTGGCAGACAACCTGGGTCTGAGGTTTTACCATACGAGGTCCCTAGGTGTTGTTCTCCAGTTCCCCAAGGAGAATGGGACTTGAGTGATGAAGTCTGTACTTGTAGCTGAGGTCCCAGCTATGCGCTAGGATCCTGCCAGGCCAGTCTCTCCTCTCCAACACCATGTACAGAGGAAGGTCTATAGCACCCTGATCTATCAGTCTGTGTGGCTGACAAGCTCCTCAGCATCTCTGCGTAGTGCCCAGGTAAACTAAGCCCTCATTTTGCCTGGACTGATCACACCAGCAGTGCTCAAAGCCACATCCCAGGAGCCCCCGCAGAGGCCACATGTCCACTTGATTTAGAGGTGGGAACTGGCCTGGCAGAGTAAGCACACAGCCCAGGCATATATCACACACTCACTTTTTGAGTTTCTCCTCCAGCTGCTGTTTGTCATTCTCCAGATCCATTACAGACTCTTGTGTCAACTTCAGGTCTCCCTCAAGCTTCCTCTTTGCTCTTTCCAGGTCCATGCGGACTTTCTTTTCTTGTTCAAGAGAGCTTTCCAGCTGGAGAATGAAGGGAGACAAGGATAGGGAGGGAAAGGACCCTCTGTAGCCCCAACGTTCCCCATATCCATTGCTGTGGGAACTTCACCCATCCCTGAGATCCAGAGCTGTTTCCTAGCCGGTCTCCACTCCCATTCCCTCAGCCCAGGACTGCTCTCCATGAGGTACTCTGGACCACCTCTTGGTTCAGGGGCAGTTTTTCAGTGGGGTTATTCATCAACCGGCCATATTAAACGGGGATCTGATAAACCTCCAGATCCCACTCAGGGACAGCCTTTGGGCTCTCCTGGAAACGTGACTCAAACCTCGCTCACTTCACTGTCACTGGCCTATGACTCACATCATCCACTTGCTGCTCCAGTTTGACCTTGGCTTTGGTCAGTGTGTTGACCTTGTCCTCCTCAGCCTGCAGGTCATCCAGGGCCTGCTGATGGGCTTCTTGCAGTGCTTTCTTCTCTTTTGTCAGCTTGGCAATGATCTCATCCAGAGCAGCCATCTCTTCAATCAAGTTTTTAACCTAGATCAGTGAGGTCAAAAATTGAGCGCATCTTCTCGTAGAGAGGGGACACAAAGCTAATACAGCAGCCTGACCCATGAAAGGCAGGAGTCCATGATCAACAGCAGCTTGGCACCACAGCATCAGCCAGCCCCTCTCCCATTGGCCAGGCTGGTTCCACCAGGTGCTTTGTCAATGCCCCAAATCACTTGCCATCGCACGGAACCATTTGCCCATACCACTCCTGAGCAATGAGACAGGACACAAGAGGGTTTTGCCCTCTCCCACAACTCTTTGCGCTCTGCCCTGCCCCAGCTCCCACACACTGGTAGCCTGGTCCCTGACGTTTCTTTTCAGTGCCCCCACAAGCACTGAGGCGCAAGGGCAATGAGCCTGTACTCTGCAGGGAGGATCAGTTACCTTGTTCTCCGTGGCATGCTTCTCCTTCTCCACCTTGGCCAGCGTGATCTCTAGGTCATCGATGTCCTTCTTCAGCTCTGCGCACTCATCCTCCAGCTTGCGTCTCTTGGCGGTGAGGTCTGCATTCATCTCCTCCTCATCCTCCAGACGCTCTGTCAGCTCCTTCACCTTGGCCTCCAGCTGGATCTTGGACTTGATCAGCAGGTCACAGCGTTCCTCTGCATCTGCCAGGTTGTCTTGCTCCTGGGACAGGCACAGGAGAGACAGTGCTCATCCACTGCGCCAGGAGCATACCAGTGGGCTCTCAGCCATGCTATCCCGGCCCAGAGCTGAAGCTCTCCTTGTGGAAGTGGCTGAGCAAGCCTGAGGTGCTCAGGTGTACAAAAAAAAGACAGACAGCTCCAGTCACTGCCTGTTTTCAAGGTCCATGGGACAACCCCTAACGCTAACCAGGGCCAAAGAGCTAACAGCAACTAAATCTTCCCAGAGAAAGGAAACACTGGTCTGACACTTCCTGGCACAGAAATAGCATGGATTAGCCACAGTTTGGCGAGCCAACATTGCCATCCCTCCTATGCCCTCGTGAGGACATCACCTTTTCCAGAGCCAGGGGAGCATGAATCCCCAGGGCAGCCCTGAGATGGCAAGCCTGTGATGTTGTTTCAGGTTTGCACTGAGTCTAACATTGCATTTCAAACAGATTGTGGCAATGAGAGGGTCTCAGAACTGCAAGAGGCTGAAGGAGGGGTCTAGCATGCTCTGCTCCTTCTTCTACCCATGGACCCTGCACTATCTTTACACTTCCAGAGAGGGTGAGGCACTCACTGCCTGCAGCTGGAGAGCCAGGTCGTTCTTCTCCTGGATCATGGAGACCTGCTTCTCTTCCAGCTCCTTCCTCTTAGCCTCGGACTTCTCCAGAGCCTCTTTCAGCTTCTGGAACTCCTCCTTCAGGTTGGACATTTCCTTCTCAGTCTGAGCAGACTTGAGTAAAGGCTTGATCTTGAAGAACAGCTTCATCCAGGACCAGTTCTTGACAGCATTGAAGGCCCGGATGTTCCACTGGATGGTATAGAGGGCTTCCCTGGAGGGATACAGGCACAGCATCATTATGGGTGTAGATTCCCCACATCCCATCCTCACTGCGGCAGAGACCTGGCTTTTGCAGACCTTGACATGTCTCTATTCTCCACCAGCTGGACAAATGGCAGTATGTTGAACGAATGGCACATTGTCTGCACACCGTAATGGCCTGAGTGATGTGGTGTGGCCTGGCTTTCAAGTCTCTTCACTCTGCATCCCTCTGACTCTTCCAGTGGAAACCAAAGGCTCCCCCCAGCCAGATACACTGACGCTCCCTACCAGGCCCATGCCAGACCTCTTACAGGTCTGCCTCCATCCCTTCAGGACAGGGCCATCCTCAACCACTGCCAGCCATAGGCAAGACCCACAGGTCAAACCCACTGAAATGTACAGAAGGAACAAGGAGACACACCAAGTTCTGCCTCTTCCCCCCCGCTCCCAACTCTACCTCCTCCTGATGATCTTCTGATACTCAATGCGCATGAGGTGCCCACGGATTCTGGCCTGTAGCATGGTCAGGATCTTGGCCAGACGCTCATCTCGCATCTCTTCCAGAAAGCCCAGTAAACCAGCCTTGAAAAACACCTGCAGGCAAGAGAGTGAGAACAGAGTCAAGAGCAGAGAGGCCAGAGGGCTCAGGGGTAACATAACCTGTCAGGCGAACCTGGGCTACATGCGGCCCAAAGCAGGGATAGACAGAGCAGCGAGGGCTACACCCCGCAGGTTTAGGTGCCCTCCCTGCACGGGCACACACCCACGCTCTGCGCTGGTTGGAGGTGCACCCACACAAGGCACAGGCACAGCTGGGCACCAGATCTCCCTGCCCTGAGCACATCACATTCCCCAGCAGGGACTAGCTGCTGGTGGTATGAGGTCAGGCAGCAGCGATCTTCTGGTCAGACCTGCGTCTTCCCAGCCTGCATCTTCCTCTGCCCTCCTCAACCCCTTCAAGGGCCACACACAACCTGCAGAGCGCAGGGCTTGAGCAGGGCTGTGAGCAAGGCAGAGAGCAAGCTGGGCACGGAGAGCAAACTGGGATTGCAGAGAGACACGAGGGGCAATGTCTCCCTCCCAAGGACTAGCTGCCTGGTCTCACCTTGGTATGACCAAACTTGTATTGTGCGCGGTCCAGCTCCAGGGAGCTCAGCAGCTTCTCTGTGGCCTTTCTGCTGTCCACAAACTTGTCATCTGGAATGGCTGCTGGATTCAGGATACGGTAGCTACAGGGACAAAGCAGAAGGAGGACATGCAAGAGAACCCCAGCACAGAGCTCCATCACCATCCCTGTACCCCAGTCATGTCAGTTCCCCCTGGAAGCATGTTGCTGCAGCACAGGCTGGAGTCACGTATGAGCCAGGAGCTCCAGGGTGCAGTATGAGCTCTTCTGAAGAGCAGACACCAGGGAACCCTGCAAGACCTTAGTCCCTGAACACAAGGAAGACTGTGCAGGAGGAGGCCACTGGCCTCACCATGCCTGGTCAGGTCCAGGCCAAGCAGGGTGGATGGGGCCAGCTGGAGAATGGTGAGTATCCCAAGGGCAGAGGGAAATCTGAGCCAGAACTGGAGGACTGGAGCCTTGCCACCATCCACCTGCACCAGCCCTGCATTCAGCATCTCAGACATCACCAGCCCTGCTGTCTCATCACATCTGGCACCAAACTATCCATGTCTGGCACCACGGAGCCAGCAGCAGAGCTATCCCAAACTGTACGTGCACTGGGCATATTGTGGTGGTTCAGACCAGCCCTGCACAAGCTGAGGAGCGGGTCAGAGCCAGGACAAGTCTGTCTCCCCTCAGAACACCTGCGGGTTGCTGAGCAAGGGAGAAGAGGGAGTTACCGCTGCTTGAAGTCTGCATAGAGGATCCTGTTGGGGAATCCCTTACGGCAGATGCGGATACCTTCAAGGACACCATTACACCGCAGCTGGTGCAGCACCAGGAAGGCATCCATGGCTCCTATGGGTGAGGACAAAGATGGAGCAGACATTCAGCCCAAGAGGACAGGGGAAATGGAGCTGCAGCGTGGGCCTGAACTCTGGAAACAGCCCGTGGTTTTGAACACGGGTGTTAACCTGTCCTGTAGGCCTATGCTGAGCACCGGTGCCGCAGCCTGGGCCTCAGATGGTGGAAGGCAGCCTGAAAGACTCATCCATGCCTGCTGTTATACACAAGTGCAAGGCAGCCCAAGCATCAATGCACAGCCAAAATGGGAGCCTGGCAAAACTCATTGTTCCCAGTAGAGGACACTGGCATGGGTCACAGGGGTTTCCACACTGAGATGGGGACAGGTCTCAGTGGCAGCAGGACTGCTGCAAGAAAAGGGTTGGGGAGGAGGTGGGTCCAAGTGTCCCTGCCAGCTCCCACATGTGGATGTCACCCGAGCAAACTGCCAGGGTGCTGTCTCAGGCCATGCATACCTGGGGTCTTTGTCTCATTGGGGATGATGCAGCGGACAAAGTGGGGCTGAGTGGAGCGCAGGTTGGTCATCAGCTTGTTGAGATTCTCCTGTAGGGCAGACACAGGGGATGAGGCATGAGGTGATAGCTCTGCTCCCCTATTACACTTCTTTCCAGCCCCTTTCCCCCACAGGCAGGGAGAGAGCAGACACTGAGAGCTCCTTACCACTCTGCATGAGAGAGGGGGAATTTCCTCCTGCTTGGCTGTTCTCTGTGCTATCCTGCCAATGGGACATCCCTGGCCCTGCAGCAGGACCACTGCCTTCTGCCAGGATGGGAGCAAGGGCAGAGGGGACTGTGCTGGCAGACATGCCAAATGGCACCTGCAGGTTTTGCTATGTCAGAGAGGAGCCAGATGCTTCCCAAGTATTTGTAGGTAAAGTTTTGCTGCAGGGGGGAGAGCCAGGAACACAGGACTGAGCATATTCCTGGTATACAGCTCTGCTGGTGCCCATCAGCCCTGTGCCCAGGACCCTGTAAATCTTGCGCTGGCATCCACATTGGCTGCAGTCCTCAACTCATCAGGGTTTCCCTGCACTTCCACAGCGCTAGTCACACCCTTCGGCCGTGACAGAGGGCCCTGGCGATCCAGCCTGGGCCTCCTTTTCTCTCCAAGGCTGGGCTCAAGCCAAGACATGGCCCTGCCTTTTCTTGTGGGAAAAGCATCTGCACCCTCAATCTTTCCATGCTGCCTTCCCCTGCCCATACAGGCTCAGCCTGCCCAGGACCAGCTCGGGGAAGGGAACGCCTTCCCGCAGCTCCACATCATCATGGGACAACTCCTCGCTGCAGACACCTTTCCCCAAGGCCTGTGACTTGTCCAGGAGGAAGAAAGTCACACAGCTCCCTGAACGGGGGCTCTGACACAAGCGCTGCCCTCTTTCAGCACCCTGTCACCACAAGGCTGTCATGGCAGGACACAGCTTTGGGCTCACACACCCCTCTGTGCTGTTTTCCAGTTGCTTAAGCTCTGGGGTGGACAAATAACTCCTGTGGTGAGCATGGGAACAGGGGTGTGTGTTATCCTGAGCTGTAAAATAGCTCAGGTCACCTCCCTGGACAGGACAGCAGAGAGCTGCCTGCTCAGAGACCTGTAAGATCCTCCTCCATTTTCTTCTGCCCAAAGGCTGTCCTTCCCGCCGACAAGAATGAGGAGAGAAGTAGCACAGACTTAAAGTGATGTTCATGTAATACATTATCTAAACATCACTACAAGTCTTAACTGCCGCTCTCTCAAAGGTGAAGGAGCTGCCGAGCAGCGCAAGCATCACACGGGCAGAAGCAGCACAAGCCCCAGCTCAAAGGGAGCCATCGCTCTCCCAGCCTGAAGCCTCGTGTCCTTCCCTAGCAGCATGGGGACAGGGCTGGGACTCTGCCAGGCACAGGCCCCTTGCCCAGGGATGACAGGGTGTCAGGAGCTTTTGCCTAGTGGTGGTCTTTCAGGAGCCCCTTCAGGCCCCAGGAGCTCATGTGCAAGATACCCCAGGGTCTTGGCAGGGAGGTGGGACTGATACTGGGAAACTCTGAGCATGCTTCCCTCACGGCCTCGGATGAGGGGCTGGCTCTTACCTTGTGCAGCTGTGACACTGTTTGGAAAGAAGCTGCCTTTTTACGTTTCTCCTTGGTCCCGGGCTTGTGAGGTTCCTCTGTTGGGTTGAAATATTAAGAACATCAGCAAAACATCTGCTCGGCTTGGAGGACTCAGGAGCACCTCCAAACACCCCTGAAACACCCACAGCCCCTGTAAAGCAGAGACAGTAGTGCCCTGCTGCAGAGCAAAGCTGCAGACCACCAAAAACATCTCCCACAGCACCCAACTCTGGGTGTTGTTCCTCAGTTCTTGGTAACAGCAGACCCCATCACAGGGCCACCAGGACAGCTCTACACCACCGCACAAGCTCAGCCTGGTCCTAACCACCCACCTAAAGCCCCTAGACCAGCACTGCATGTCCAGGGTACCCACCTACCCACATCAGAGAGGTTTTTAGGGGTCAGTGTGGGTCTTCCCTTTGCCCAGGCTGTTAGGTGCAGGAATG